CCTCCTCCCAAGGTCACGGGTAGCAGTGGTAAAACTGTAGAAAACTGTCTTCCACACCCCGGTTGTCCTCCTCCCGATCATCGTCGCGCTGGTAGGCCCGCTTCTCTCCCCGTCTCGCCCCGTCGTCGGCAGTAGAAACAACACACCTTTCCCCCCATCCCCAGGAAGCCGTCCTGAATCCACCCGTACTGTTGGTCATGGGGTAAACAAAGAGTAAGAATTGTTTGAAAATTTTAAAAGTACCACAGTGCGACTACCAAGATACTGGGAGTTGCAGTAGAAAGTGCTCATTTGACTTGTCGGTTTTTTTCTCCCCTTCCGCCCCCTCCTCCCCACTCCCCCTCTCCCCCTCCTCCATGAACATAAGGTTAGCGGTTATAATTTTAAATTCAAATTTTTTTAGGACGAATCATTTTTAGCTGTTACAGGATAACGAATCGGATGCCGTATCGTCGTTCCAATCTGGTGAACAATCATTCATTGTGAGTTCCTCAACGGAGGGACGATCAGCTTCTGCCAATGTCTTCGAGCAGTCGTCATGCTCGTTGGATACCTCAGAAGCAGCACCTCTGGTAATCGATGAGCAGGAAACGGAAGACTTTTCGCCCGGTGCACCTCGTTTTCCGGCGCGTGGTCGTGCTAGATCTCCCACTGAAGAAGCAGCAGCAGCAGCGGCCGAAGCAGCAGCCGAAGAGCAGCGAAGGCGAGCAACCACCCCGAGAAGAACGATTCTCACCGATGTCATGCCATTGCGCGGTGCAGGAAGATCAAGAAAACGGAAGTCAACACCAGGCGCTACTGATGATGGCCCTTTGGCAAAATCGATGCAATCCGCTGGTGAACAAACGTCCGAGCAAAATGTATGCTATTTAGGGTTTGGGAGTAAATATGAAGAAAAGGATGAAAGGGTTGTAAAAAATTATTAAAAGTAGGTAAGAAATGTTTCGGTCCATTAAGTCGTATACATTTCTTACCGTTACCAAAGTTGGACCTCGTCAGTACGACGACTGTGGTAACAATATAATTTAGTAAGGTGTAGGAATCAATTCAGATGAAAAGAGATGTAAATCGGAAGAAATGAAAAGGGTAAAAAAAGTGAAAGACTTTAAAGAGATGAAAGAAATGGTAGGAATAGAAAAGATATAATGTTATAAAATAGTAAAATCTAATTTATTACCTGCTCATTACTCGTTATCCCCCACTGCTATATTTTAAAAAATTTTCGCTAAATTATTACGTACTTGAGACGAGAAGAAATTTGCACTGATAATGTGATTGGCTACCGATCACTTGGAGAGCTGCATGCCAATTTTGTATCCTTTTTTTCCCGACTATTTTACTAGACATATA